AATCATGATGGATAATTGCGCGGTAAGGAAATAAGTATAGGTTATTTTGAGGCCTCGTGGGGATATGTGATTTATTGAATAAACACATATCCCCGAGGTGCCTCAAAATAACGTACTTATTTCTCACATTGCGAGGTCGCGTTAATGAGTCAGAATAGAAATCATTCTTAATGCCATATTGTCTTTGTGATTTTGTTTTTTTTCTCATTTTTTGTGCTGCGAAGACATTACAGGTGAATATTAGAGGGATTATTAGAGGGAAATTGATTAGAGGGGAATACTGAATATATTTCCCGATATGAACAAAGGAAACCGAGCAATGTGAAAAATAAAGTGTTTCAATTACTGCTTCAATCACCTCCCCTGAATCTGTTAAATATTGCATAAATTTCGCTCTTGTTTTCCACCAAAATGCCTGCGATGGAGGCTAGCCACCATGGAGACTCTATAGTGCCACCACTTGTTTTTTACGCTCCCAGCATATGAGCTTTCTTACTCTGATCTGATCGACTGTGTAAAGCAAGATGATTTTACTGACAATATATGGATAATATACAATAAATTCCACATATACCTTCCACATATCCCAACTTATCAGCAATTTCATCAACATTGATGTTACCAATGTCGTCCGGTACATACTGAATACTACCATCATTCACTGCGGCCAGATTCTCTGGTTGTTGATTGCTCAACTTCTCAATTTTCTCATCGATCAATTTTTGTGATGACATGATTTCTGCGATACTTCCTTTCTTTAGGAGATTTCTTGGCAAGGACACTGAAGCTTGGACTTTATCAAGATAATCTTTAATCTCATCATGTTGTTTGCTCAGTTCACTGTGTAATTCACCATAAACCTTGTCCACGTCATCATTCATTTTCTCTGCTCGCTCATCAAGTTTTTCTGTCACAATCTTCAAGATATTTTCCTTTTGTTCCCTGATTCGCTCCTTAGTAGTTTTAGCATTCTTTTCCAGAGATTGCATTACCTCACAAATGTTGTTCAACGCTTCCTTTCCTTCAGCTAATTTCTCATCAAGTGTTGTGCAGCTTGATTGCAATGTTTCTCTTTGCTTCTGTGCAATCTCGTTCACTGCCATAGCATACAATAGCATACATTTAATAGCATACAATCTACACAGCAAAGTTCCTTGCATGTTTCGCAATATATTTTGAGTACTTCATCTTCGTGTTTCGTGCAATAAAGCTTGTTTCTCATTTTCACTTGACGTTCAGGATTGCTAAGTTCCTCCACCGATAACAAATTATGGTTTTTGTGGGCAGGCCAAATATCATGCCACTCTGAGCATTTCTTACACATAAACATTTCGCACAATGCGCACTGATTAATGGCAGGATCTTGGCAGTGTGAACACGCAGCAGACGCTTTCGCTTTTCGTTGAATCGCCATGATTTCTAGCATATTCTTGATGAAATAATTACTTGGCAGTTCAGCAACATCTTGGTTTGATTTGAGAGTAAACTCTGAGCGACATGTAGGACATGGAAACGTTTCGATCTTCTTTTCAGCACCACGAAGACGTTCAACATACTTTCCTAAATAATAATAATAACAATAGTTTATTTACACTCAAAAAGATACAAATACATCCTGTTAAAGATAAAAAATTACAAATGAGAGTGAAGGCCACCTGTAATAACCATAAGGGCTAATCGAGACAGGTGGCCTTTAAAGAGACACAAGAAAAACTATGATTAGGAGAGTAAGACAGTAATCAATATGGAAACGCTTAATAAACTTAATTACAAAGACAACGAAAACATGAAGAAAAAAAAAAGACAAAAATGGCTCAAATATTTTGAATAGTATTAAGGGGAAAAAAGGAAAAATATAGGTATTTCGTGATGTGATTTAATAGGCACCAATCAGCAGTTCTTTTAGTTTGCGTTTGAAAGCAAATTTAGAAAGTGTTTTAAGAGACTCGTCAATTTCATTTCAAATTTGAGTTCCTCTGAATCTGATTCTAAATTTGCCATAATTTGTGCGAGCTGGAGAAAGAGAGTAGGTTGATCTTGGAGCAAGTCGAGTATTATAATTATGCTGATTTTGTATTAGGCTAAAGAAGTCATCAAAGGCCTCAGGAAGTTTGCCATTACTATACTGATGTACAAAAAGTGCTATGTATACATAAACAATATCTGGAAATTTTAATACATTCAATTTTTTAAATAGAGGAGAAATATGCTCCCTGAAGTTAGAAAAGGTAATGATGCGTATAGCTTTTTTTGCAGAGCTACTAGAGGACAAAGGTTTGATTGATAGGTATTTCCCCATATGATTACACTGTATATCAGAAATGGAAAAATAATAGAATAGTATAATTGGATTAAAATACTTGTAGGGACAAAATGACGTAATTTGGACAGTACACCAATACTTCTAGCTAGTTTTTTGGATAACTCATGAACATGAGCTTTCCAGTTCAGATTGGAATCAATAATTACTCCCAAATAATTTGCACTCTTCTTTTCCTCTATAACCTCTCCTCTTATTAGAAGCTTAAATGGATAATTACGTTTCTTTTGAGGAGGATGAAATATGACAAAGCTTGATTTATCTGCATTGAGGGACAGTTTGTTAGCACATAGCCATTCATTTACATATTGCAATTGATTATTCATTTTGAATTCTAGATCCTGTAAGCTCTTGTCAGCACAAAAGAGATTAGTGTCATCGGCGAAAAGATGAAAATCCAGCTGTGGAGCACAGTTACAAAAATCATTAATATATAGTAGAAATAGTAATGGTCCCAAAACCGACCCCTGTGGAACGCCACAAGTGATTGACTTTAGAACTGAGTTGGTATTTTCAATTGAAACAAATTGAGATCTACTAGTTAAATAGGAACGAAACCAATCCCCCGGTAATCCTCTGATACCATAATATTCAAGTTTTTGGATTAGTATGTCATGATTAACAGTGTCAAATGCCTTACTTAGGTCCAAGAATATACCACAGGAAAATAGTTTCTTTTCTATTGAATTCTGTATTTTGTCAGTTATTAGGAGAATAGCTTGCGCAGTTGAATGGCTAGCACGAAATCCAAATTGGCCATTAAAGAGAACATTATTCTTCTGAAAATAATCAATTAGTCTATTATACATTAATTTTTCCATAATTTTACTAAAAATTGATAATAAGGAGATGGGACGGTAATTGGACATTGTAACTTTACTTCCTTTTTTGTATATGGGGATTACCTTAGCTATTTTGAAACTTTTTGGGACCTCACCAACAGTAAAAGAATAGTTGAATAGGAATGCCAATGGTGCAGATGAAAGGTTACTTAAAATTTTAAGCAGTTTAGTGGGGATACTGAAAGGACCATTTGATTTAGAAGCATTTAAGTTATTAATTTCTTGCTCAATTTCACTTGCTATAACAGGAAACAATACGAAACTATTTCTGAGAGGGGTAGTCATAAATTTATCAAATGTTGAATTAGCACTAGGAATTTTGGCAGCCAACTCAGTACCAACGGATGCAAAATAATTATTAAAGGCATTGACAATGCTCTGCTTATCAGTTAATTTTGAACTGCCTATTTGCAATACATGAGATACTTTGAAAGATTGTTTCTTAAGGCTGATTATTTGCTTAATACCTCTCCACGTTTCTTTGATGTTGTGATTGTAGGATTTGAAATAATTAGTATAATATTGTTTTTTACTAATGAGTAACAAATGCTTCAACTTATTTCTATAATGTCTGAATTTAAATAAATAGTAATCATTTCTAAATTTTAAATATTTTTTATAAATCTTATTCTTTTCGGCAATGAAAACTCTAATACCTTTTGTTACCCAAGGCTTTGCATGTAATTTATACTCTCTTTTGGTTTCTTCAGTGGAGCATATTTATCTATAACTTCATTAATCTTTGTATGAAATATCTCAAAAATTGAATTAATATCTTGTGCATATGCAAATGTATCGTCCCAATCAATACTGTGAACTTCAGCAACCAAACCTTCTTCATTCATTTGAGAATAATCTCTTTTGTAAGAGGCACCACGGTATGTGGAGCCTGAGAGATCATTAATAATCAAAAAATTTGGAAGATGATCAGTCAAATCACACAGCAAATTGCCACTGGAAACCTCGTGTTCAAGGGAATTGAAAAATATGTTATCAATCAGTGTAGCAGAATGGTCAGTAAATCTGGTAGGTTTGATTATATGTGGTTGAAAACAATAAGAAGCCAATGTGTTTATGAAGTCACCTGTTGGATTGTGAGATTCAAAATTTAACAGATTCAAATTATAGTCACCAGCCAATAAGCAAAGTTTTGATTCATTAGAGATTTTATCAATAGCTGCATAGAGATAGTCAGTGAACTTGTCTAAGATGCCATTTGGATGCCTATAAATCACAGCACATACCATGTTACAGGTTTTACGATGAATTTCTATCCATAAACATTCATACTCATCCGTTGTAACACTTAAGTCATCCCTTAGATGGAATTCTATATCATCTCTGATATATAACCCCACTCCACCAGCATCATGAACTGTTGGCTGGGAAAAAAATGTATAACCTGGGATGGCAGTATTAATCAATTGATCTCTATCTACTTTGATCCTAGTTTCAGATAAGTCTATTATGCTAAAATTATGTTGCAAGTCAGCCAACAATGTTATCATATTATCATAATTAGCTGAAAGGCTTCGAATATTACAGTGAATAATAGAAAAAGGATTTTTGGAAAATGCATTTCTAACAAAGACATCACTATGAAATTCATGAGGGGTAAAGTAATCAAAATTTATGTTATCAAATATGTTTATAAGGCCTACTGTCTACATCAGACTCAGCAAAATTTGGTACATTGTTCAGAAAAGAGGCAGTCTCAAATCTAGGTAAATTAGCAAAAGAGTCATGTGCATATATTTGCGAGCAAAGACAGCCACAATTAGTGGCTGAATCAATACTTTGTCAACTATACTTATCTCTTGAGTTCTTCCAGATCAGCTTGACAATAGATAATCTTAGATGGAGAATCTTTATCTCGTCTCAGGTAAACCCGTCCTTGATTAGTCCAGATATACATAAATCGATAATCACGTCTTAATTTCAGACACTCTTTGAACAACGCCCTATTCTTTGCCGTCAAACTTTCGGAGAAATAGATATTATTATTCGATATTCTGCCAAGATTAATGTCTTTAGTAGTTTTCCCCGCAAGCTTTTTCCAACTTCTGTAAAAGAGTTCCTTGGTATCTCGTCTAACGAATTTCACAATAATTTTGGGATATTGATGAGCTGGGTCAATTCTGCGGCCACTTGAAGATATGCCATCACTCAACCGTGAACTATAAGAAGCCTCATTTTTTTTGCAATCGATGAGACACTGATATGTCCTCGTCAGTTAATTCCAAATCCATCAGTGAACCGACTTTTTTAACTAATTCATTAGTATTTTCCCCAGGTAAAACAGGCAGACCTGTTATTTCACAACAGTCTCGTCGCTGATATTGCTGAATATCATTTATCTCTTTCGATAAAATGTTTGTCACATTCACTAGCTTTCTCCTTTGAAAGCTTTAATGATTCTTGCTTTAGGAAATCGTTTTCTTTGGTGACCTCATCGATTTTATTCTCGAGGTTACTGACTTTAATCTTTACTTCTTCAAAGCTTGTATTCAAAAATTTCATCGAGTCATTCATCTCAACAACTGTGTCGCCGATTGGCTTTAATTTAGCTTCAAAAATAGCCTTCAATTCCTTTTTTAAGATTGAGATAGTTTGAGCCATATTTGTACAACAAAAACGAACAAAGAAAACAAAGATTTAACACAGTATATAGTAAAAAATTGAAACTAGCCGGAGCGTATTATTTTCATG